ATTTCCTTTCTGCTGTCAGATCTCAGTTGAAACTCAATTAGTTCCAAAAATGGCAATTTTAGTTGAATTTCTGCCTTATTCGACAGAAAATCATGATTTATTGCACTCTCTGCATTACTTTAAGAGGCAATAGACAATAAGTGGTGTGTCACTTTCAGCTGAGTTATGACTAGTTTGCAGCCAAGCATGATAAGTGAGCTTGGGCCTGAGGAGGTCCAATCTGGTTCAAATTTATAATGAGATCTCACAGCATGTTTAAATATTTAGCATATCTCTGTTTAGCCTTACTGTAATCCACTAGGGAGACCCTCTGTGCCTTTTCCAATCCCATCCAAAAGCAGAACCAGAAAATAAAGGCTCATCTGATTCTCTCCCGAAATTGTTGCTATACATTCATTATGTATCTAAACTTCAGCATGGGAAAAAAGCCACACCATGGCAATAAAAAAGAAGAATGTATAACTGCTACAAATTGGCATATGTGCAGCTAATAGGGGCTTGTTCATAAAATAGCTGCAGAGGAAATGAGAACACAGGAGCATTTCATCCCCAAGGTAAGTGATTCAAGCAAACCACTCCCAGACTAATGGAAGTCAGAAAATAGCATATATTTTAAAATGTTTTCAAGCTGTTTCAGACAAAATAACTTAGGTCTTTCTCAATTATATCTGCACATTACAACTGTTTCTTAAAATAAAGACATTCATAATGGTGTGCTCATTTTCATGTGGGTTCTAATGGAGCAAATGAAAATGCAGTGTGTTAACTGCATTTCCTATGAAATGAACTAATTGAAGGCTGACTTTTTTAATAGTTTAGTTTACTCCTTATATCTCACAGGGGCACATAAAAAATAAAACTAAGTTCTTCCAAAACCACATGTAATTGTTCCATGAACTGTGAAACAATATTGGGAGTCTGGGGGAAAAAACCCTCTTTGGACAATTTGTGAAAGTTCTAAACATTTTCAGGCTTGATAGAAAGTTAATGAAGCATAATACCAACGTATTATAAGCATATGCAGTAAAATGAACTGGCAAGTGTAGAGATGTACACTTACACAGTAGGAGCAAGTGTCTTCTGGTGAGTTTTGAAGAAGCATAGTTGAAAATAATAATGATAATAATAATAATAATAATAATAATAATAATTGTTTAGGTAATGGGGACTCCCCTCCACCACCACCAGTGTGCGGCCCCACCTGGATGATGTGACGGCAGCCATAGTGCACCAGTACGCTCACCACACACCAGCTCTCAGTGGGGAGGAGAACAGAGTGATGAAGCCAGTTCAGAGATGGGAATCATTAGGAGGCCATGACTGGTAAGGGCCAGGGGGAAATTTGGCCAGGACGCCGGGGTTACACCCCTACAAAGATCATTTTAATCCTGTAAAGCATTTATTTTCTAAAAAATACATACTGTATATGAATAAATTCTGGTTGTTGGCTTGTTGTGTGACCAGTTACACAGTTTGTCAGACTGGTACAATTAATCCTACCAAACAACGGAGTACTGAAAAAAAATAAGATACAGTATGTGGACATTGGATTTTAAATTAAATTATTCAATCATTATTTAACCCCTTAATGAAGAGCATTTGCATTTATCCTCCAACATAATGAATTGCCCAACTGTAAAGATAATGCAGTGAAATACATGAAAAAATAGAAACAGAAATAAAAGTTTTTTTGTAAATTAACAATAAAGTAGAAATACTATTTACATATAAGAAGGGATGTCATACAAGGTTAGAGTGGGAATATAGAGTACACAGTACATTGCAAATAAGGGTATGAATATTAATGACCTCTTGTTCCGCAAACTTCTTGCGCAAATACATTTTTATTGACTTCCACATGTGCATAATGGCAGGAAGAAATTGTAATACAGTTCCATCCCCTAAGTCTTGTAACTATGAAGAGCTAATTAATAATCAGACCTATCATTCATATTTACTGTATCTATACTGAAGAAACATTAAAATGTCAGGGTCCGGGTACTGGTGAAAGAAGAGCTGTTTATTCGCATACAGTATACAGTATGCATCCAGTATGTGAGATCAGCTTGCAAAAGCTACTCTCTCCGATAGGCGTTGCTCAGCGCTTTTTATACACAGTAACAAACTTCCTACCTTTAACATAGATCACCTAATCCCTAAAACGAACCATTAGTTTCTTAGTCAAGCTTGGGTAGCGGAAAACAACTCCTTACTAAGACGTTCGTTATTGCTTACATTCGCAAAACAAGACATTCAACTTCCCTTTTTAGTATATTTAAGACATGAGCTGTACTTTTCCACTGACCTTCAGTATTGATGCCCCCTGGTATGTTTACACTTGCCAGGGTTTTAAGCATTTAGGGAGGTAAAAGATAAGCAGTTTGTTAGCTTTCTAAAATTTATAACATTCCTTCAATACTGTACAGTATGTCTACAAACACTGTATAATTAGGTATATACTGTATTAGTCCTAATAGCAATGAAAAATAGAAATACAGCAACAGTGCCAATAGTAGAGGTATTTGCCATACCCCATTGCTCCTTAATTTTTCTGCACTTTATAGTCTACACATCTTAATCTTTCGATCTGTCATATCATCCTCCATTCTTAACTTTTTTATTGAAAAGGATAGTCATAGGCATAAAGCACGTAAATGTTTGGAAAAAAACTGTCGAGGCTACACTTGTTTAACTAGAAAACCTACAAAACACGACACAAATACAAAAATAAGTCTTTCAATTAGAAGTGCACAAACTGACAAAGAGAACTGCATTTCTTCCACAACCAAAAATACAGTATATCACCCATAAATTAATCAGCATTAAATAATCAAACTTTGATTCTTCAGTGTATTGCAACTACTATCAGGTTAGTGGTATCTTGTCTTAAACAGAAACAAAAGAGCCTAAGTAGCGGTTTTAGGTAAGGCGACAATTAGTCATGAGTATACTATTTCAACCACAGCACTCAGGCAGATAAAATGACCCTATGTCACTCCCAGTCAGCACTCTGATACTAAAACTACTGTCATTCAAAACATGTGTGCCCAGGTACAGTGTTTTTTGGAAGTGGTTTTCTATGGATGACCATTTGGAGAAAAAAAAATGTTGTTTGTAGGAGTCTGCAGTCAAGAAAAGAAAGCATTTTGCTCAGTAAGCAATAAATTGTTCCACTCACCATCCCCACTAATCCCCTTGTTTGGAATACCCAATTGTAATTCAGCAGCTGAAATCCCACACTGATCCAGAGGAAGCAAAAAAAAATCTCCCTAGATATAAAATCATTGAGCCGACTACTCTTTGTCTTGCAATGGAACAGGAGAAGCTATACATACACAACACACTGAGGACAATGTGTAGCTAGAGCCTTACAGGAATAAGTTATGGAATCCTTTGGCTTTTATCCAGTTTGGTCCCTGGTGAGTTTTGGTCCAATTTAGAGCCAATATAGGAACTTTCAGGAACAGTCGGCAAATGTTAAAGCTTGGCATCATATCAGTGGCCCAGAGGCTATTGGAATCGTCCTGGCAGTCCTGTATCTTCACCAGATTAGCTAGACAGCAGCCTCTAGTCACTGAAAAGCAGGAGTTTCCAGACCTGACCCTGGAGAGCCCCATTCCACTTAGTTTATAGGTCTTCTGTATTTAAAGATTGACAACAACTACAGTATAAGCTATTGATGAATGAAGCAAGCAATCTGTTCAGCTCAGAGAACTCTTGTCCTTCAGGGTTGAAGATTACTTTTCTTTTAGTCCTAAGGAATCTCCAAAAAACGTTTATTTAACAAATCATCTGCTTAATTGATCATGATAGGATTGTTCCAGGTCTTTAATTAGTCTTCAGAAATCTTGCTGATTGGGTGGTCCATATAACCAGCTGGATTGGGACTTGCCAGGATCACAGCTGGAGACGCCTGCTCTACAGCTCAGGAATATTTGTAATGAGTTTAAGTTTATAAATAACATGAGACAATGAAGACAATAAAGAAACTCTTCATTGTTACACTACCAAGGAACACGTAATTATCTTGAGCCAACATTTCAGAAATGAAATGAATAATGTAAAGGATTCTCAAAGAATATTCAAGGTCAGTTACAATGTTACAATTTACAAGGTTACTTAGAAAAATCCTCAAATTCTTGTCCTGGATGACAGTCTTTAATTTGTGCTATATGTTGTGTGCATAAAGAGTTTCATCTCACATTTTTAACAACAAGACAATCTTTCTACAACTGGAGAATTTAATTGCTTTATATGTATCAATTAAATTGAAGAAATTGATTGCCCTTGATTTCCACATTGCACCTTTTTGTGACCCAAACAATACCACAAGAGGGCAATCATGAAGCATTGATGGAGCCATGAAAATAAAAATCAATAAAGCTATAATGGCCATGTCACTCAGCCATTCTTCAGAAATCAATTGTATTTCACTTATATACTTATTAAAGGCATACAACATTCAGATTTCGTACCCACATTTAGATAGCAATGTACATTGTTGCTCATTTATAAGGTCAAATCATACAACATTGTTTGTGCACTTTTCATACCTGCCTTTGCATTAAAATGATCAGTGTCAAGTATTTCAATTATATAGCTTATTCTGCATTTCTGAATCACTGCTGGGCCTTTATGCCCCAGCACTTTCACCTGCATTGCACTTGCCTACTTGCTCCAGGTCTCAGCACTATTTTTGATTTCCATAGGGAAGTTGTATGCATTTAGTGCCATACTGCAACATTTTTCACTTTTTCCCTTATATTCAGATGCAATATATGTAGCCACAGCATAGTTGGAAATTCCAATCAAGACATTGAGAGTTGACTGATATGTGTAACTTCAGGTGAATAAGAAGACAAGTGGAGCATAAAGGTTACTTATTAGTACAAGCCATAAAAATGTCAAGAACCACAATGTCTTTCACTTTCTGTAAATATGTTTTTGATTTTCAAGTTTCTTAAAAAAATGAGATAGTTAAGAAAACAATAAAGTAAGAATTCATGCAACATCAAATTTATTGTGGTCTGTTGTATTTCTTCTATATTGTTTGAGACAACAGTTGTGCAGTCGCAGCCAGCATCCCAGAAAACATTTTACCAAAATCCCTAAAAGTTTGGGTCAAAAACAGATGTCATGATCATGCTGCCATGCTTATACTTGGCTTCACTACTTCGTTCTCTTCAATACCCAGATATTAAATAGTTTTTCCACTTCCATGAGTACAATTTTGTTGAGAGATGCAAAGAAACAATATGAATATTCAGGTTGCATGTAATAAAAAATCCTGCATTGTATTTTAGGGACATTCCTGTTGTGTAAAACAATGCAGAGGTATTTAATATGGAAACACTGATAAAGCTTGCTTCTCTATTATGTTGCACATAAATTAAATTTCCACTCTGCATGCATGTAATGATATAACAACATAAGCTATATCCCATTAATTGTCATGTAAATTACATCTACTAATGGCAGTTACTCTCATCATGAATGTTCGTAAAATACTGGTCTAAGGTATATCATTTTGTCTCATGTCTATTTTTCAAGCCATACTAACCGTTTAACTAATAAATCTTCTAAACACAGAGCCTATTTGCTCTAATCACTTTAAGCCTGGAGAGTTAGGGACTGAAACTCAGATGTTTTATGATAGTGCAGAAAATAATTTAACTGACTTAACAAAACATATCCCAAGGCACAAGACAAAAATCTGTATTATGCATTTGCATTGGGCAGTACTGTGCTTCAATACTTCTTAGCTCCTGGGCTTGATTCTGGACTGCAAAACCTTCGGTGTAGAGTTTGCATGTTCTCTCCTGCTGTTTGTACAGCTTTTCTCTACATGTTCTGGCTTCTTTCCACATTGAAAGATATACTGGCTAGGTTCCACAGGCTGTTATACATTTTCATTTACTCTGTGGACCCTCAATGAACTGGATTTCTGTCCAGGGTAAGAACAGCCATGTGCTTTCAATCCCAGCTTGCACCCTGTGCTCTTAAGACAGGCATCAGGTTGCAGTAACGTATGAATAAATTTAGGTAGTTTATTTTTTTCTATGCTATATATATATACAGTAAGAACAGCATCCTATCACAAGTTATTAAATACAATTCCCACACCCTCTGCCCACACGTGCACAAGAACAACATTGTAGAACTACTTAAAACATTTGTAAAAAATGGCACTGTGTCTTCTTCGCTTTAAATGACAGCAGATGTTTATATTAGACACACATACTTTAGTATGAAAAACTTGTACCAATGGCAAAACCTTAAGCTGAAGTTAATTAACATCTTTTTATTGCTGTAAGAGAACTGTTTTTTAAAATAATGACAACTTGTTATCTACACAGGACAGATGTCTCAGTTGACAAATGGAAAGAATGGTGTTCATATGGAAAGAAATCAAATGGATAAACAGAGCGAACACTTCAAGCTTGTTAATTCGTTTTCAAATCTAACAAAATTCAAAGTTAAACAACTGTGTGTGACTGATTTTATATGATGATTTAATTTTGCAGTGTAAGCCAGCTGCATTCTTCTCACTGTAAGTACATTTTGTTTCCTATCTTGTCTTGCATTAACAGTGAGGTGCAGTGGACCACCTTTCCTTTTGAAATATTTTCTCATTGTAACAGGTTCTGGACATAATTCACTGTGCCTCACAATGACCAGGCAAGTGTTCTGATTTCATTTAAGAAACTACCGATTGATTCATTTCATTAACCAAATAAAGGTAAAAACAGAAATAGATATGCATGATGTCCATGCAGTTTTTAGCCAGAAAGGAAATAACAGGAAAAAAGGGGCTTTACAATACTCAATTATCATAGATGTATATACGGTATGTATATATATATATTCAACATGTACAATGTGACAAAATATCTTTGAGTTTGAAGAGTTCTGTATTCTGGTTTTGTGCTTTTTTGTAAATTCCATAGTCTTGAGCTTATGTTTTTGAACGCAGGCTTCTAATGCCGATTACCAACACTTCAGTGCCATCTAGTGCTACTTAAACATTCAGGTTTCTAGAAGTAGAAGGCTTCTTCCGGTGGAGACCACATCTTCACAAGTGGCATTTATTGTTAATTAAAAGTAGCACTTCTTTCAAAACCTCTTCTCTCGCTGGACCGGCATCAATCACAGCACAGGCAGGATCTTCAATTCTCTTGAAGGCTTCTTCCACCCTACATGAAGGAGGAATCATGATGCCAGTCAATCCTTTACTTCATTTCTACATTACCTCAACTTAGATAGCACAGTTGAGAACACGGTGTATGAACATACAGTAATAATACAAGTAATAATGAATTTAAAAAAACATATTTAATAAGGACATTTAACTTGTTTTTCTTGAGATCTTTTTAGGTCTTATTTTTTGTCTTCAGCAATTTAGTTTTTATCTCTTCTTAGCCTTTTAGTCACGTTGTAGCCTCTTTTGAAACTTGTAAAACAGTATAAAGCCCTGGAAAAGTACTTAGACCCTTATCCATAAGGCAATCCATTCCCATGGCTATTCTCCCTGAGATTACTATTAAGACATAACAAATAGCAATGTGTCTTGAGCGGTTTTGTTTTTAACTTATGCAGAACTGGAAATTAATTTGAAAATATAAAAGTCACAACGCTTACCCCTCATCCTCCCAAGAAGGTGTTTGAGTGAGACTCACCAACTACACAATGATGAACTGTGCCCATTGTTTCTCCCATGGACTTGGATTCATGTCGAAAGGGAATCTTAAAATGTTTGGAGCTTAGTGCTGGGTTACATTAAAGTTGGAATTCTCAAACAATCTTATACTGTAATTATCTCAGTGGATAGTAATACTACAATGTTAGTATAAATACTGCCTGTAAATGATTGTTTTCTACAAAATAGATATTTTGTATTTATAATAGGACTTTTAGAACAAAATACATTTTAAATAATATGGTTGGATGCTTCTGGAAATATTTACTAGTATTTTATTTTTATCTTGTGGTGCCATTGTATGGCACAACCTCAATATGAAATGGCTCATTAGAATTACCTAAGAATCTGTCATACTTTAAGACTACACTTATTATATTTTGTATTGATGTTCCTTTACAATTCCATGATCAATTTCTCAGCCAGAAAGGAAATAACAGGAAATTTAACCTAAAAGTGGAAATTCATCAAGAAAGGAAATTGCATTTTCATTGCATTGACATTATGCCCAAGAATTAATGTGAAGAGAGAAAATTGATACATTTATTTAAGATAATTACATTTCTGTATCCTTCAAAAACATGTAAAATTCTCTTGTTCACATTACGTTACACTAAAACCGACCTGAAATGTGCATACTGTTTTCCCCTTTAAAAGCTGCAAAGAGATCTAGAAAAGGGTAAGAAGATATTACTATCAAAGATTGGATTTCCTATTGATCTTCTGAGGAGAGATAGAAAAGCACTCAGTTTAGCATTCTGGGGCAGTGAACTACAGGTTTAAATGTAATGTTTCCACAGAGGAAGTCAGGGAAGTAAGCAGACATGATTAAATCAAATTTAGCTCTGTCTAAGCCTCCCACAAATCATTTTCAACTGCCAGAGCCACGTTTCCCTGGTATTCCAAGGTCAACTAAGTTCCACAAAACCCTTTGTTCTGCCTATTTGTTTACCACTCCTGACAGTTTTGGTTTAAAAGTGGGACTGACTCAAGAGATATCAGATTCATTTTGATGCCCTGTTTAGTGAGAAAGGTGTAGCAGAAAGCAATATCCAAACACGTGTCAAAGTTCAAAGCATATCTGAACATTTTTTGCAAATGTTAAATCCATCGCAGAACACTCACATTACCTTCACATGATATATAAAACAACAGCAGCAACCAGCACTGCTTTTCCCATATGGGAGAGCAACATTAAGATCTGCTTCCCTTCCCCCACCCTTGCTTGCTTGGAATAAACAGGAGACATGTTAAAAAATATGTTTTAAAATGCACTCTGCCAGGTGTTATGCTGTTTTCTTGTTTGTTTGTTTTGTAATGTTTTGTTCTATTACATTATAAAGCAGCATTATACAGTAACTGCTACTGAAAGGAAGTGGTTAACAGACACAAGGGGAATCAAAGCAATTTCCACAAGTTATTTCGGATCATAAAAAAACCAACATGGAAACTTGACAGCAAATTTAAATAAAAGTTCCAAAAATACACTCTTGGCTTTACGATGCAATGAATGGCCAAGTGTGATGTACTGTACCACTGAGCATCTGGGAAACTCTATAAAACTCTATGTGAGATTATTTGTACATTCCTATTGGAATGTAGGAACACTCTATTTTGGATCATTCACATAGATAATAGCAACAAATTACGCAACAAACTGTTGAATTGCAGTGGTAATATAAGTTGCTGAAGTACAGCTGTATATAAGTTTCTATTGGACTAAACAGGAGAGGCAGAAGTGCCGCCATCAGTACATATTAGATGAGAGGATTTTATTAATACGCAGTGCAAAATATAAAAGATTCCATAATGAGAACTGTTTTTTTTTATATATAAAAATAATTTAACTGTAAAGAATAAAAAAGTGAAATTGGCAGTTATCAATGCTGTCTTACAGCTCTCCTGTCCCAGGTTTTATTCTGGACTGGAGAACTTTTTGTTTGGAGATCGCACGTTCTGCCCATGTATTGATTGTTTGAGGTATTTTTTCTAGGTGTTACCACTTACAACACAACCGTCCACAAGCAGACTGGCTAGGGTAATGACACCTCTAAACTCTCCTTGTACCGTCTGTGTGCATGTGAATGTTACCTATGTGGACGAATGTCATGCAGTCTAGGATGCAACTCCTCCATCCAGCACAGGCTCAGACCTGGCACAATCCTTATTGTTTGGTCAGCTTTGCTTGCAGTCTTAACATCAGGGATGTGCAGCTCCAGTCTTCAAGGGCCCAAATTCTGTCAGACTTAACACGTGCTCTTCAGTGACCAGCTACAGAGATCACTTTATTGGCCATATTCAATTTCTTGCATTAGGAATTTGTCTTTTCACATACCCCAGTTTGCTCTCCATGAGACACACAGACAGGGAGAGAGAAGCTTGGGGTCAGGGCGCAGGGTCAGCCATTTATACGGCGCCCCTGGAGAAGCTGAGGTTAAGGGCCTTGCTCAGGGGCCCAATGGAGTAGGATTCCTCTGTCGGCCGCGGGATTTGAAAAGGCAACCTTCTAGCCATGGGCGCAGATCCTTAGCCACAGTGCCACCGCTCCAAAAGGCTAATTAAGATCTACAATACCACTTCTTGCCCATATAATTATTCAAAATAAGTCATTATTATCAGCTGAACAAAACCAGAGGGCTGTGTTTTTAGGACTACACACACTCATCACTACCTTGCAGCATCCCTGGAAGATAGAAATTTCTTCCATTAGAAGAATTTACTTCTGGATGCCTATTATTATAACAACATCCATTTCCTTACACTTGTATAGTGCTTTTCTGGACACTCCACTCAAAGCCCTTTGCAGGTAATAGGGACTCTCTTCCACAACCCTAAATGTGTAGCCCCCACCTGCATGATGCAATGGCAGCCAAAGTACACAAGTACGCTCAACACACACCAGTTATCAGTGGGAAGGAGAACAGAGATAAGAAGTCAATTCATAGGTGGGAATTATTAGGAAGCCATGACTGAGAAACACCAGAAGGAAATTTGGCCCGGACACCCTACGTAATAACTTGCAAGGTTTAACATTTAACCAACTCTAAAAGGTTAACTAATTAAAGTTATTTATTTTGCTACAAAGTGGTTCATTCTGAAGGTAGGTGCCCCCATTAAACTCCCCTTTTTGCGGAGCATTTTATTGACACAGGGATGAAGCTGGACCCTTTGGGAAAATAAATCAAATTACCGCTTGTAAAAGGGGTTGTGGGTTTCAAGAACTGCAAAGCTCATGTTACCAAAATGTACCTCTGTCATAGATACTGGTCTATTGATCTACTGTAGCTTCTAGTTAGCAGGGAAAATATAAAGTAATAATTACATATAATGCAATAAGAATATAATGTACCCACTTTTGCCGGAAAAGCTGGTTTGCCTCAAGCTCTGCCTCCTCTTTCGTCTTGTCGCCCCCCCGGGCCTGCAGCCGACGCTGGCGCTCCGCAGGGCTGACTGTCAGCAGCACCACGAGATCTGGCTTGAGCAGGTCAGAGGGCCAGCGGTACACGTCAGAGCTCAGGGCTGGGAGATTCTCCGCTTTCCCGCTGACTTCGGTTGCAATTGCATAGGCTGCGGTGCTATGCCAATACCTGCAGATCAGTGAGTGAATTAAGAGGTGTGAATTCATCCGTCCATTTTCCACTCAGTTTATCCAGTACAGAGTCACCGGGGAGCCGGAGCCTATCCAGGCATGCATTGGGTGCAAGGCAGGATACATCCTACAGTAGATGAGGCGCCAGTCCATCACAGGGCACACACAAGCACACACACTCACACCAGTGCCAATTAAGCTGCAAGTATATCCTCGGACTGTGGGAGCTAACCCACACAAACGGGAGGAGAACATGCAAACTCCACACAGATTGCACCCCAGGAGTTGAACCTAGGGCCCCAGTGCTGCAAGGTAGCAATGCTAACCCCAGCACCACCATGCCACTGCAGAAGTGTCAATGCACATCCTATTTATTCTCAGTATGTGAATATTTCAGTATTTTTCAGCATTTCAGAATGTGAATCATAACTAATGAAAAATGAACTGAGCTGTGCGATGGTACCAGATGTCTCTCTGAAGGGACCTAATGTGTAAAACTGACTGGCCTAGAAAAACACGAGGTGTAAGGAACTGAAGTCCTGAGCAATATCTCTTTTGGAGCATATTTAATTAGATACAAAATTAGAATTACTGCTTCAGATAAGAAAGACACAATTCAAGACTGAAGAAAAATGATGAAAATGATTTGCTTTCCAAAGTCAAATTTAAAAACTCATATTGGAAGAAGTAAGAAACAGAATTACTTCTAGTTCAAATAAAAGAGGGTTTCTGAAGCTAATCCACATTCCCATCACTGTTATACATTGCGTTCAAATTAAAAAACAGAATTTAATTTTTGAAATCATTCCAGTCCACCAAAATAAAATCTTAAAATAACATAAAGTCCGTATTCCATTGTTAGACCTAGTTCTCCATATGTCCAAGTATTTGTATTCTTAAATAAGAAATAGTCATTAAGGGTGCCAACAGATTTGGAATCTAAAACATACTGTTATTTCATTTAAAAAAAATCTTTTGACCTTTCTCTGAAGCAGGCAGTATTTTACCTGTATTGATGAAGAGGTGCTTTACATACCTATCAACAATAACAGGTGAATGTGCTGACTGTGTTGCTATCTGGCCTGCAGTGATGTAGTTCCCTAGGGCATAGAAAGCCCTTCTGATCAGAGGGGGTTCAGCATCAAATCGCACTCTCCATGGAGACAGACACTCAGGTGGAGACTTCAGCAGAGATCCTTCCAGAGCCTGACTGAGAGACTGGGTCAAGGTAGTTTTTCCTACATCGATAACAACGATAACAACAGAGGATAATGAGAGTGGGGAGATGACAACATGGGCAGAAATGGAAAATGTCAAATTCAGATCATTCATATGCATTCTTGTCTTTACTTTCCCCTCTCAAGATTAATCTGTTGAAGGGATGTGCTCATTTTTCTTTTGTTTCGTTTGTTCGTACATTTCTGAGGACACGCAACGAAATACAGACTGAAATTTCATTACTGACCAGACCAGTATGGATGTAAAGACTGCATAGGTCTCAGCCAAATAATAGGTTCACTTTTGGAGAAATTCAACTCTTATCTATAAAGAATCAGTATTAAGTCATGAATAGAAGGGCTTTTTTTTTTCTAGACCAAATCTATAAAGGATAATAACAGAGTACAAGCTTTTCTCTCTTCAAAAGACTAATTTTGTTTAATCACAAAACTAAATCTAATTTCTCCAGTTTCTTAATTGAGAATTAGAAGCGGACATTTACTGTAAAACAGGTGGGATTTGTGCTATAGAAATTATTTGGAAGATATTATTTTACTATTATTTTAAAAACACCCTCCATAACCTTACCTGTTGCATCCAATCCTTCTACTATAATCACAGGAAAGGTGCCCCTTTTCACCGAACTTAAACATTGTTCTGCTGCCTCTAACACTTGTTTTGATTCAGGGATTATCTTTATACACTGAGGGAGAGAAGACAATGAGTTAATAAATGGCAGCCTGATAAAGTTTGGCAGTTTGGCAAAAGCAAGTTGAGGGCATTTAAACTGCAAGTTACTAGACATGTACAGTATACAGTAAATGTGCATATTATAGACTGTAAATCAATAAATGACCAGCAACACATACATTTGTTGTGAGACAACAGAAAAGGCATGCCAACTGTTAAGAAATGTTCAGAAAAGTATAGCATTCAAGTCAATGTTTGTAATTACTGCATATATACAATGTATTAAATTCCTTAAGACTCTGGGAATAACAGTGAATGTATGATTTAAAGACATACATGGAAAAGAGGGAGTGTTTCAAGGACTGAACCAGGAAACAATTCTTTCCACAAGGGACTGCTGGGTCGGAAACATTCAACTGGTCTGTTGGTAAAGCAGATTCCCTGGAATCATCTTTGGCTACTAGAAACCAAACCGGCAAATTCGGCTGAATGGCCTCCTCTTGTTTTGAACCTTTTTACATTCTGTTTCCACTTAATTTGTAGCCTTTTTGAGTACAGCAATTTCTACTCTAAACGTTCGTACTTTATATGTTATTACGAATACGCCCCTGCGCCTAACAGGGATCTGTGGAAAGTCCTTTTTAGCTCAGCCGGCAAGACCCCTGTTGAGCGACGCCGGAGAGCCGGGTTTGAGCCCATGCGGTGAGGGCAGAAGCCCTAGAACCCGAATTCGCTACAATACTGTATGTTTTGGAATAAGGGAAGGGCATTACTTATACTTTTCAACTTCCACAAGTAGCATTGCGGCAATAATGTCTTTATTGTATTAAACTTTCCGTTGTCTGGTATAAGTCTTAGTCACTTTATAGGTGCGTTACTAAAATAAATTAGTGGGGTATTTAACTCCAAAACTCACATATAAAGTATGCATATATTTGACTTAACATGATTACAAATATTATCTTCTGGTACAGGACTGAGTCTATTTTACGTCGTTGCCACTAGGCGGAGACTTTGCCCGATTTACTCCCCTTTAGTCAGCAAACCAAGATGCGTCATTATGGCAGTAGGGCAAACTTCAACCCAAGCAATTTTTATTAGAGACATTCTCAGCAGTCACTTCAAAAACATTTAATTCTAATACGCCAAATCAAGTCTAGAAGAACTGCATTAGTTTTCGTCATTTCAAATAAAATATTTTTCAACTGAATGATAGTCATGCTGTAATCTGAACTGCAAACACAGAATAGTATTTAAAACCCTACCTCCTTTAGAACGTTGTAAGCTTCTTCAAAGCTATAGAAAACAACGTTGTTTATAATATTGGTCTCTGACGGGTGGGTAACTGGTGTTTCTGTAGGTACAACACAATTTTTTTTAACCACTGTCATCTCCCCGTGATCAGTCTGAGACCAAACATATTGCCACCACAACTTGTCGTCTTCTTCACGGAAATAGGTGCACAGATTGAATGAATGCCTCTGAAACAGTTCTTGAAGTACTCGGTCAGTCTGCTGAGAATCCTTCGAGTCCTGAATGAAAAAACCCTTAATCACAGAGTTTTTCACGTCTGGCTGAAAGTCGACAAGATCCAAAACGTTGCAGGTTTTGGGTAACCTGGAAACTAATGTGTTTTGAAGGTCGCAATGTAATCTTGCTCTTTGTATTCTGTCTCCTGTGGAGACGTGAACAGAATAACCTTTTGCGCAATCGAATAACTTTTGAAATGCCAGATCGTCTTCGTAATCTTTAACTGAGGGGTTTGCGTTTAAGGCAAAATAGACGGGATACGTTCCTCCGCCAAGTTCTACTGCGAACTTTCGGAGACACCATCGGTTTAGATGACACAAAGTCAAAGGTCTTGCCATAGTCAGAAGACAGGCTTGGTATTGAAACGGTGTTTTAAGAAACCGTACCACTCGTCTGATGGGTATCATGATACCAGAAACACAACCGGAAATGCACACGACTAACCTGACGTAGGCGATAGAAAATCGAAACTTAAACTTTAAAGAGCACTCGCTGCTGTATGGAAACGAAAGTGAAATTGCATAGGCAAACCGAAGTCTTTTTTTATTTTGCTGTGCTGTTTGTTTCGCTAGGGTGTTACACAAGTGCAGCGCTCCTTAAATGACATGGCGTAGCCAACATTAATGCACGAAGAAAATATCACGCATCATTTCAAAATATATAGTAGCATTTAATAAAATGCGTTACCGAAGTGTTTAGACAGGGACTCAAAAGCACGTCAGCATTCTAAACTTTTGGGTTACTGATTTCTAATTGAGAATCGAGTTTTTTATGCGTTTATTCGTTACTATGTTGTTTGAATACTACTTTTCATAACTATGTGATTGAATATCTGATGCACCAGTTTTACGTGGTAAAGAATGAAAAGAACCAGAAATATACATAACCGTTATACTAATACTGGGTGAGGGAGTACCAGCGGCACCACTGAGCTTGTTGATTTTCATGTTACAACTTGTGGACTGCTCTCAGATGCCGTGATGAGTTCAATCTGCGCAAAATTCCCTGTGCAGTAGTCTGCAGTAAGCCTTGTAGTTCATAGAACACTTCTTTACCTCAGTATTTCATAGGAATCGTAAAGCCTTAGTAACAATGCCGTACAATGATCCAATATATTGCATAACTGTAAATACAGAAGCATTTTACCCTAATAATATAGCATCAATCAAAGTTACATTCATTCGTTATCTGAAAGACGCTCATAACATTAAGAACCCTTTCACGTAAAGTTATGGCATATTAACTGGTGACGTTTTAGCACTGTCTTGAGTTTCTATTCTTGCTTGCATACTTGTGCTTACAGATATTCGAACAATGTATTATCAGATGTTTTTATTCTGGTGCATTTTCGATACCTACGTATCGAAACTTGGCGCAGCTTGTAAACAGTAATGTTACGCGCAACTCGTGACCTGTGCGATAGTCTATAAAACATCGAATGCCTCTTGTTAGTGGCACTTGTCACAGACAAATACGGGGGAGACTGGACAGGTCTGGAAGTGAAAAAACAAACAAACATGTTTGCCATTGATTTATTTTTTATGAAAATGGTCCTGCAGCTCTGTATGAGTAATCTTTCCAAGGTCTTTGCAAGTCTGTCAGAGAAGGTCTGGATCTGGATCGGGGTGAGAAGTTTGCGAGGAAGCACTGCGAGAAAGACTGAACGAGACAGCTGCAAAGGAAATATCCAGACGCCAATTCCAACAAGTGTCAATTACCATTTTACTCGGGTCTGCAACTACAAGTGCGGCTTTTGTTTCCACACGGCAAAAACGTCATTTGTTCTACCAATAGAAGAAGCTAAGAAGGGTCTGCGTTTGCTTAAGCAATCAGGTATGTGAATAGTGTATCGGTATAAGATTTTGTCGGAGAGAGTAAGTACAACATAAATCCAATATTTGCCGGTGTTGTATGGAATTAATGTATTCATGCATTCATGTATGGAAACCTGTATTCCATCTCCGTAATTCGCACGGCAAGCGCTCCACAAAACTTTTCACGATACTTAACGATGTACTGTAGGCAGCTCCTGCGTACATGCCTGTGCCTTCGCTTATTACGATATGGATAATCGATATTACTTTTGTGTATGTTCACTCTGCATTTAATGCGTTTGCTCGGGATTAGAGTACAGTAAAAAAAAAACTTGAAAGCCCGAGTTTTTTTTACACAAGACAAGGGAACCCGAAAAGAAAGCACACGAATGCTTCGGTATGTGCATCTTTTACTCTTATGTGATACATATTGTAACGCAACGGGGGCTCAGGTGGGCGCCCTTGCCGCATTAGGTCGGCCCCCCACCGTCGGGGGCTCGAACCCGGGACTCCCGCGTCACTCTGTAGGGACCCAGCTGGCGAACTGCATGCCCTACGTCTGCGTACAATATTTGAAGTTGGGCATGGGGTCTTGGAGAATTATACCATTTATTAAGGAACTCAGCCAAGAACCGGATCCATTTAAACAGGTCTTCATCTACACACCTATTTCTATACAACAACATTAACAGTTATAATTGCAGTCATTAGTATGTCGCTTTTCACCCTAAAGGATCCCCCAACGCTTGACTTCTCGCAGGTAAATCAGATCACCCATCACTTCCACCGGCATCCCTGCAGTTTACTCCATCACTCCACCAACTGAATTAAGGAAGAAATTTCAAAAGAGTAGATTGTGCAGTCCCAAATGGAATTTAGCCAGCAGGAGGGGTTAACATCCCTACTCTTAGGTACTCTTGTCCTGAGGAATCCCAGCCTTGTTAAGCTTCTGAGATCTGATTAAATAATGTTACTATGGAAGCTACTGTCAGCGCTTCATTCCCTGACAACAGTAAATAAAGGAACAAGTCACAGGTTTATTCAATGCTGAAAAGAGAAGAGAGAAAACACGTGTCAGCTGTGGAGCCTTCTTCAGGTGTGAGAAAGCCAGGGCAGACAGCGAAGATTTAATAGCACAGAAGAACAAAAGCTGGGAGAGGGGAGAAGGCAGGAGGGGGAGAGAGGCAGAGAGGCCACTCAGGAAGTGCAAAGTGCACAAAGTGGCTCTCTGCCCCTCCTGCCTCTCTTCGCTTTTCAGCATGGAAAAAACCTATTACTTGTTCTTTTGCAGACTACGCCTGCTGACGCAGCTCCCCACCTGAATAGTAAATAAAGCCACCTGCTTGTATTTCACATTGGGTTTTGTAGGTGATGATCATGGTGGTGATGACAGGGATACATGATTTCACATCTGGTCCACATGTTAGGCAGTCCTGGTTATCTGACCTGTTCCCTCTTCCCATGTCATGACATATGGTGTATTATACTAAAATTAAGTACATACAGTATGTTATACTATAATTGCAATTAATCATTATTCATAATTAGAAATTAAGGGAGTTTTTTTTACATTTACTTTGAAGTAAAATGAAAAAGTCAAATGTTCATTGGGACCAATTTGGTTTAGCTAAATGTAAAATCATCTCAAAGTTTGGAGGAAAAGCAATTGTTTAAGAAGAAATAAGCAACAGGCGAGTATACCCCAGGTACAGAAATGATGGAAATGAAATAATCTAGGCTGGTGAGTTACTCATTTTTTGTTTTAGGGATGGAAAAAATCAATTTTTCTGGCGGAGAGCCCTTCTTACACGAAAGAGGTGAATTTCTGGGACAGTTGGTTCAGTTCTGCAAACAAGACCTGCAGTTGCCAAGCGTCAGCATTGTAAGCAATGGAAGCATGATAAGAGAAAAATGGTTTCAGCGATATGGTAAGTTGCATGCATGCAAACTCCATTGCAGATAAGATCAGATCACTTTATTAGCCATATACAATTTATTGTATTAGATATTTGTCTTTTCACATACCCCACCTTGCTCTCCATGAGACACACAGACAGAGAGAGAAGCTTGGGGTCAGAGTGCAGGGTCAGCCATTTAGATGGCACCCCTGGAGCAGTTGGGGTTCAGGGCCTTGCCTGGGGACCTAACAAAGTAGGATTCCTCCAGCAGCCAAAGGATTTGAACCGGCAAACTTCTAGCCATGGGCAGAGATCCTTAGCCACAGAGCCCATTTCTTTTATGCTGTCCAAGACAGTTGTACATGTTGTAGTCAGAGTCAGTGACTACAGTAAGGGCTGAAACATTTGTACAAATCATTTTTGAATCCTCAACTACATACACATATAATGTGTGTGTGTATTAACCCAAATTTCTTTTCACGTTCAAATACAAAAGCCTTTAAAGCCTCACATATTCAGGGCCACATTATTATTGAATTCTTACTGTGATACGTTTAGCTCAATAAAAGGTAAAAGGTTAATATTTCATAGGAGTGGCTAAAATATATAGTTGTTCTTACTATTTACTGTGCTCCCCCATCCTGTATACTGCACTGTAGACATCATTGTTCTGCGATGTATTTGTTACTTCTATGTATGTTCAGATCCTGCAGATGGCGGTAGTGATTTATGTGCAGCTGCATCATAATTGATTGTAGATTGTCTTTTTTGCTGCTACTAAAATATTGAAAATACTTTCCATCCCATGAGTGTAAAAGGTCCTCATCCAGTAATATACAGTAACACAGTGAAGTGCTGTGTTAGTTCTAGCTTTCATTCATTAAATGAAGAGCTGATTAATCACGTCATTTCAATATACCAATTTCCTTACAAGTATATTTTAATCTTAATAAATCAAAACGATAAAGAATTTGTTCATTTTTAAAGTTTAAAGAAAAAAGTAGGATAAATCAGCCCTTTATTTTGTTAATTCATAATATTTATTTCTGAAAATGGTGGTGCATTGCAGTTAGGGGATTGAGAGATCAGTGTCTCCTCTCACAATTCTGTAACATTGTTTTGTAAATTCTGTTCTAAGTGGAAGACTGCCACCTACTGGTAGAGTACCACTTAACTCCTTATAGCAGCAAAATGGCTCCTATCCCAGAGCAGGCCCAGATGTCCTTATTTTTTTACATCTTAATAGAACATCCTGCTCTAAATGCAGTGTTTATTAAAAAACTAAATGTTTTGAGGAAAGAGTCACATAAATCCTGCTATAATTCTGAATTCAGTTTTGCTTTTTAATCTTGCGCTGGTGCTTCACAGTGAAAATTGACTCCTGATATTCAGAAGGATATTTTTCTTTATTGGGAAAAGATGCTTACTGTGAGAGCTTTGTTGAGCTCACTGTCGCCCTGTGTTGCAGTTAGTTCTGGTAAGCAGCCGGGTGGAATGTGAAAAACTTCAGTAAATAGGGATCCTGAGCTCATCTCTTTAAATACGTTTTTAATAGTAAAACCCCCAAAAAACATGAATTGAAATCAGAAATTTATTGTGAGAAAAACAAACTTTCTCTAGGGCGTATTCCAGACAGCCACTTTGTATTTTGCAGTATTCTTGAGCTACTGCTTCTGAACTCAGTTGTAACCTGAATGACTTCCTGTCCTTCCGCAGGGGAATATCTAGACATTTTGGCGATTTCCTGTGACAGTTTCAATGAGGAGACCAACTCTCTGATTGGCCGAAGACAGGGGAAGAAAAGCCACTTGGAAAACATATACAAAGTGCAGAACTGGTGTAAAGAGTACAAAGTGGCTTTTAAAATTAATTCAGTCATTAACACTTTTAACGTAGGAGAGGATATGAGAGACTGTATCAGGGAACTCAACCCAGTGCGCTGGAAGGTAAGGTCTTCTAATTTATGCCTGTTTTTGAATTAGGTGAATGATGTAATTTCCTATTGCTCTTCGTTTGATATTTTAAAACTGTGTGATCATGACTTGCCTCCACATTTTCTTCCCTGCAGTGTAGTACCATACTTGCTCAATTAAATCTATTATATTAATCATGTAAAACTGTATCTAATTGTATAAGATAATTGTTAGCTGCCAAAATGCAAATTCCATACTGAATTCCAAAGAAGGTTTATACTCTAGGCCTTTCTTTAAGGACTAGCTAATCCAGTCTCAGAAATAGTGTGACTGATGAATGTACAGTTTATGCAGTTCATTAAACTAAAATGTGTATAGGTCAGAAACACTTCTCCACTAAACTATATACTGGGTAAGGAGACAATTCAAGACAATAGCCACAAAATGTATCTTAGACTCTGAACTGTTTGATATACATTTCCCTCACAGAGGGATTTTCATAAGGTTTCACTTCATAATAGTTTATTGTAGGGGGAGTAGATCATTGCAGTTTTCTTAAACAGGTAGAAACAATTAAACTTTGCTAGAGTACTTAGCAGGAGGGGAATAGAAGATGTGCTAATTATGTTTTCTAGGCTTATGTGGAAATGAAAGTGGTAAGTAAGATGCAGTTATTGTTTGCATTTCACTTTCAAATTTAATTTTCATCCCAAAGTGCTTTACACATGCAGTGTAAGAGTAGACCCACATTATCCAGTGCTGAAGTGCTACAGCTTCATTATTACAACAGATGAGATGAAGAATGAAGAAATTATACCACCAACTGAATTAACTGAGAACTTTAGGTTGAGTAGACCGTTCAAGTCCAGTATGGGTTTTAACCAGGACACTGGGATGAACACTCTTACTCTTATGAAAAGAGCGATGGGATTTTTAATGACCAAGTAGTAAGGACCTTCGTTTAACGTCTCATCTGAAGGACAGCACCTCTTACAACACTGCCCTCAATCTCCATACTGGAGCACCGTTAATTCGAAATTGCTGTCCAGAGGGAAAGTGACTCACCAGCACCAATTACAGCAGCAACCTGATTGTCTTTAGAGGTCTCCCATTCCAGTACTAGACAGGCCCAAACCTGCTTAGTTGGAGATGCTAAGATTATGTTACCAGGTGGTAATGCTGCTGTAAAAGGCTTTGATATTGTTAAATGCTTTGCAACCTGTAATATTGTCTATGCTATTATATCTCAAAATTATAGGCCTTAACTCAGTTTTAAAGTGCCAGTCATCGTAGTCTTAGTCATGATAGTACTTTTTCCCTGCAGGTATTTCAGTGCCTGATTATCGAGGGGGAGAATGCTGGTGAAAATGCCCTGAGGGAGGCTGAGAAGTTTGTCATCAGTGACCAACAATTCCAGGACTTCCTGGACCGCCACAGTGACATGGAGTGTTTAGTGCCAGAATCAAATCAAAAGGTACAGTACAGCTGGTGATGTAATCGTAGAAAATAGATAAATCACAGACCTCTTCATGAATCATAAGAGGATTGCTCACTATTGACAAATTGTGATCTCTTTATTCCTCAGTAATGCTTAATAAAGGGTAATTTCTATAAGAAATGTTCCTTTGTACCCAATATTTCAAATTATATTAATGCTTAACATTTTTTGTATGGTTTTAGATGAGAGACTCATACCTCATCCTGGATGAATATGTAAGTCCTTAATCTACTGTTTAATATCTTACATAAAGAGCCTGTTGTCCAATTTTCTGAATATTTACAGATGATTACTTAAATTACTGTGCATGGTTCTGCAGATACACATTGACCTACATTGTACCACATACAGTATGTCTTTCTACCTTGCAATACAGCTGTCTGGGCTTTCACTTTCATCTGTAGTTACCTACACACTGCTTAGCAGTTTATTATGGAAACTTGTCCACCACAGAAAATCAAACCCCAGACATCTTGTCTTTCATGTCTTTTTATTTAATTCTTCTGCTGCATTGGTTAGGTCACATTTTCTTATTATGGCAAGTGAAACATGCTATTAATGGAATTTCAGAATGCTTAAGTGAAACATCTGCATACAGAAGCCTGTGCTTTGATGAGCAAACTCTCCAGATTAATAATAAGCAAATCTAAAACTGAATTGCAGTTCTCGTCTAAAGCACTAAGTCCCGTCATTGTGACGGGTTTAGTCCACAATTAAAAAATTGGGTGTAAGTGGAAGCTTCCATGCACTTTCCAAGCCAAAGATATTCTCATTTACATCACCTTAAGTCATCAAGGCAACTCGAAATGTCTGAAAATAATATTAAGAACTATTTTTAAAACAATGTTTCCTTGTGCACAGGAAACAGTTCTATGTCCTCTTGCCTGTTCTGTAATACCCTACTGCCCTTTCGGTCACAAAGCTGCACAAGGAAATGAGTTAGCACATTATCTGAGTTTTGACAACTAGGAGTAGAGAGGAAAAGCCAAGTCATTTTTTTTTCATGGAGTCCTCAGAGGAAAATTAGCTACAGGTATTTTCTGGAACTATAAGGGAGCTCTAACTGCAGAGTCTAGGGTAATTTTTCATTATATCTTCTAACTTTTCAACAATGCACTGATTAAGAATCCAGTAGAAAGATAAGGTGTCTCCAAGTGCAATATTTTAAATAACAATGACAATATTTTGAAACAATAAACTATATTTTATTGTTTCAAAAAACGAGTACCAATGCTTTTCATGTGCACATTTTTAAAACACTCAGGCCACACTATAATTCCTTTCACTTGCATTTCTTTTTTGTTTTTTCCTTTTAAGATGCGCTTCTTGGATTGCACAGGAGGCAGAAAAGACCCTTCAAAGTCCATCCTTGATGTAGGTGTTGAGAACGCCATTATGTTTAGCGGCTTTGATGAGAAGATGTTCATAAAGAGAGGTGGAAAATACACCTGGAGCAAAGCAGATATGAAACTGGAGTGGTGACTTATAGGAAAGCTTTTGTACACCAGCAGCATATACAGTATTTTGTATTCCAGATAAAATGTTTAGCGATCAAAATATAGAAGATTTACAAAATGTAAAATGTCGAGACTAAGATTTTGCACTTATATTTTGTGGAATTTTCAAACCTTGTCATATTTATATACATTTTGCAGTGTATGTTTTAATAATTTTATACTTAGCACCATGATACATTTTGTGTTATAGCTGAAAATGTAAATATATTCCTACATTTTGCACTTTATAAATAAGGAATGTTTATTTATAGTAAGTGATCCTGATAATTAACTTTTATCTGCAGGCATTATATTATCATTATTAGTAGTAGTAAGAGTAGTAGTAGTAGTAGTTCAACAGATTATTTTCATCACTTTGTCCTACCATATCTCCAGACCCCTGTATTTGTTATATTCTCTCTTTACTTTTCTGCTGGCCACTTAACACTTCCCTCTCTTCATTCTCTTGCCTCTGATTCTCCTCACTTGCAACTCTGAGTATCTACCATCACCTTCTTAAGACCCACCTCCTGCTCAGACAGCATCTGTCCTTCCTGTGATCTGTTCCTTCTTACAGCACATAATCTGTCACCACAAATACAGCCTTACTTCACACTACCCACTGTGTTACATCAGATGCCATACCTGTATTGAACTGTTCAGTTGTATTATATGGTATTTCTTAATTTAATTAGCTATGATTATTATTTTTGTATTCCTGTGTACAGTAAGCATTTGCGTTATGTTGTGTTTTTTTTAAGAATGTATAAGCTAAATAATATTTAATTAAATTATCCACTATGGATTTTAATTATATATATATATGTTTTTAAAGATATGTACAATGAATTTAAAAGACAGAATAAAATGACCACTCAATATTAAAATAAATTAAAATCATGTGACTGCATGACTTGTTTTTTAGAATTTCATTTAAAGTGTCGAATAAATCACCTAAATGAAGCCCACATAAAATGAAGAAATCAAATACTGCACTGTTCTGGGAGAGTATTGCTATATACTGTATAGATATATAGTTTTCTCCAAACACAAGAAGTGTATTGGTATGTGATGTTTTAGAAGAAATTGACATTTTAACCTTTTTGTACCTCCTTCATGAATAACAATAATGATATAAAAATACAAACAATACTGTATTTATTAATCCATATACTGAAAAGTAAACTGTCTTTTACTGTTTTTTGCATAATCAATGACTTGCACAGGTCTGTCTCTAGCTGAAGTAATTTCTAATTCAACAGAGCACTTTTCTCTGCATAAGTAAGCAGCCATTATAGTGATCCATAATGCTTGTTGCACAAGGAGCTTGGTAAAAGCAACACACAGAGTAACATAAATATCCATCCATTTATTATCAGAATACAACTTTTTCCTGGCAAGAGTTTTGGCAAATCAGTCCAGCACAGGGATAATATAAATATAAACTATGAAAGCAAACATACTGTGCAGGTGAAAAAAGGCCATTTTAAGTAAAGGAGGTTTTATACAGTCATAAGTTTCATCATCAGCTTTATCATCTTTACCCTTTACGCTGGAGAAGAGCTTGTGCCAGATTCTTCCACAGACCCCCGTCTTCGTCTGTTCTCATTTCACTTACTCCCACAGACAGTGGGTTTGTTTTATCATCTTACACATCTTTTTCTTGGGTGTGTGTGTTTTTGTTTGTCTCTTGGTTCCCAACCCAGCATTTTCTCAATTCAGTATTTATTCAATCTCTGTTCATTCTACTCTCTCGTGTTCATTCTTAAAATATTTTTGCAAGCTCTTGATGGTCCTCGAACCCAGTCCCATTCCAGGAGTACAACCACATTTTCTGGTATTCATTCTAGCTAATCTCTTTCTTTATTTAGGTAATTTAACTTCAATTTAAACTTTTAGTAGTTGCAGCTCTTAAACAGTAGGACAGGATTAGGAATTAGCGTGGACCCTGGAATAGATGCCAGATATCAAAACTCAGATATCAAATTCCTCTCATTTAGGATTAAATTGTTTTAGTGACCAGATGGACATTAATATTTTATATATATAGCCAGCAGCCATATCGCTCTGCAGCTTATAACTACCAACCCACTGAAGCTAAGCAGGTGTGAGCCTGGTTAGTACTGGGATAGGAGACCTCCTTGGGAAAAACTAAGGTTGCAGCTGGAAGAGGTGTTAGTGGGGCCACCAGGGGGTGCTCAGCCTGCAGTCCATGTGGGTCCTAATGCCCCAGTATAGTGACAGGGATACTAAACTATAAAAAGGTACAATCCTTTGGATGAGATGTAAAACTGAGGTCCTGAGTCTCTGTGGTCATTAAAAATCCCTGGGCTTTTCTGTAAAAGAGTAGGGGTATACTCTGGCCAAATTTCCATTGGCCCTTACCAATCATGGCCTCCTAATAATCCTCATCTATAAATTGGCTACATCATTCTGTTTTTCTCCCCACTAATAGCTGATGTGTGTACTGGTGCACTATGGCTGCTGTTGCATCATCCAGGTGGGGCTGCACATTGGTGGTGGTGGAGGGGATCCCCATTACCTGTAAAGCGCTTCGAGTGGATTTTCCAGAAAAGTGCTATATAAGTGTAAGCAATTATTATTATTAACCAATTTGTCTCAACCACCAACTCCAAGCTTTATTTTTGAGGAATACTGGATGCAGTGTCACCCACTAGTTTCAGTGCACCATTCATTGTTAACCAGTGAATAATGGAGTACAACTATTTTACACCAACTTGAAACAGAGGTCTATTTTTTTCACCTTTCCTGGAAAAAAAAATGTTTTTCTGAAATAAATACAAGAAACCACGTGCTTGATTTTAACAGAAAAAAGCTGTACCATTTGCCTCAGCATGTTACACTGAATGAGGAGCAAACATCGTTCCACAAGTGGATTAGCTTGCTATAGAAAACTATCTCTTATATGTTAATAAGTAAAGTTTAATTTGGAAAATGGGGAAATAGAAGTCAAAAGCATGTTTTGACTGTGAAACCTAATGCAGGTGGGTTGTTCCATTTGAACATTTCAGCATGCAATTAAGGTTTACTTGTTCCTCTGCTGCTTCTCACTACAACACTTTACTGTATGTTGTGATTTGTATACAACATGTTCTGTCCAAACATTTTGAGGTCAATTGCTCAGGGATAACGCCCTAGGATTAAGGTCTTCAGATGAACGAATATAAAAATCTTAATAGTTCATTACGAAATTCCTTTTCATACAAAAAGTGTTGCTTATACCATTAAATTACAAAAAAACAACAACATCGCCATTAAATTACAACTCGTTCACTTCATTACAAAAATTCCTTGATGATTTTTGAAAGTCCGTGTTATCAGCAAATGGCTTTATCATTCAAAACAGTTTGTTGAATAGTTTGAATGCATATTTAAAAACTGTCGTACTAGTTTACTTATATTTACATACGTACATTTAACATAATGTGTGTTTATGTAGGATTTACTGGTGCTGTTACTTTACTTCGATACTTTTTTAAAATAAATGTGTATGCACGTCTTTTGTTACGCGACGTTGTGCACGTTATCCTAAAAGCAAAGGTGAAGAGAATAATCAAAATGAACTGGTTTTAAATGGTGAAATGACGTGATTTCGAATAAAATAGATTTCTCTATACAAAGAATTTGTACATCGATTTTGGCTAAATGTAAATAATATTTTTTATGTAAAAAAAAGTAAATCTATGTACCTGTACAGCCCTAAATGGTTAGCGAACAGTCGAAAGCCATTAGGTAGGCTTCAATTGTTTTACGTGCAATACTTTTGGCCGGCAAGGGGCGCTCTTCCTGATTTTTTGTGTCGGATTTGTAGTCGCCTCTTCCCAGCATTGCAACTCGCAAATACATACAAATGGCGTCTTTCCAGCCAGACCGAGTAGTTGGTTGTCTCCAGAGCGTGTAGAGCGAGGCTCGCCCACTTTGAATTTTGCAAAGAAGAATTACCACGGCAAACCCTGGTAATTATGTGGATGTAACACTGAGACAACGATGATAGAGGAGCTCCAAAAATGGACGTCGCCCAGTTGCTTCTAGGAAATCAGAGGCAAATAATTTCTTCAGCTCTCTAGTTGCTCTGATGCTCTGTAGCTGCTAGATTTGATGCTTGTTTTGCGCGCTATTCAACTACCTGTTTTGTTGAACGATGCATTTCTATTTTTTCTATTTAACGTACCCCGATTGATATCGTCTTTCATCCGCAGTTTCCCAGTATATCGAATTACTGTATTCTGCCTTTGCTGGGCTTGAATGCCATGGATATATTAAGTACAATGTCAGTCACCATACCCTGTGATACTTTCTGTATCCAGTTCTTGTAATATATGCATTTCTGCAAGTACAACAGATCGCATCAGTTCCTGCACTACAGTTAAAATACGATTTGGGAGATAATCTTAGTAAAACTCGAAAGAACCATCCATCATTCAACGCTTTTTAAAGATTTGGCAGCGTTTAAGTACGGACGGCGGAATACACAAAAAAAAACCAGGTAAGGTTTTCTGCGTAGTCTTGGATTTTGGTCGAGATCGATTTTAAACTCGTGAGAGCCAGTTGAGTTGAGTGTGATCAGTGGAATCGGCTCTGTTATTATTAGGGTCGTCCGTGTTATGGGTGCAAAAAGCAGAATTGGGAGCGTCCGTTGAGAGAGTATTAGTATAGAGTAACAACGGCGTATTCCGGGCGATTACGCGTGAATATCCGCAGGCAGGATACAGCTGTAATTTTGTTGCAAGTATCGCCAGGTTTGAGCCCTGGCATAGCTATGAATTCAGTAACTTTGAGGTGAAATTTAAGGGCAGACCCGCTATCTGAATTGGGATCTCCATTTTGCTCTTTTCATCTGAGTCAAGTTTTTAGATGCCCGCTTGAGCTGAGTATATTACTGCAGACAGCAGACGTGCTGTGAACTGGAATTGTTTGAGTATGCAGTTTGAAATTAACGTGGTAAATTTTTTTAAAAAAGTTTTACTCTGTAGTTATCCGGCTCCCATTGTTTCATTGAAAAAAGTAATACCAAGTTTTTTTTTTACAGTAACTGGATATTTACATCTTAAACATCAAAGTATGTTGACCTTAAACCTTATAATACAGCTTTGAACAGTTAATTATTTAATGGTAGATACTGCGTTATCGTAAACCACAGCGGTGATGTGTTGTGCTTGAATAGTTTAAATGAGTGGAAAGTGCTCTTTTATCATGGATTAATGTTGGTACCTTAATTTAAAAACATTGCAAGATCTGGGAATAACCTCTTAATGGGTTCGATCTTCTACTGAAGCATTTAGTTCACAGAAGTGCGTCACCCACCTGGGTGAGGCATGGGCATCGGTATGCACCAGCCACTAACAGCTGATCAGGTGGAGTATAAGTATAATATCGTACACAATTTAATTAAGGGAAAGTATTTCAGAAGTCAGATTGGGCAAGCCCATAATGACTTTAGTCACTACAGTTAACTACAAGGGCTAACACACCTACCATTGTGAACAGTGTCCTGAGACCTTTAAAGACCAAGAAGTCCAGATCGCAGTTAACATCACAAAGGCAACACCTACAACACAGTGACCCTAGTCACCATATTAGTTAACTGATTTGGAAATTCTGTTTCAGAGGGAAGAGTACAATCTACCAGTCCAGCAAAGCCACTCTCTCAGCGCAGTATTTATATCGGGCCCAGCCTTGTCTAGCTTCTGAGCTCTTTGAGAAGTTGAGAAATTCTCCTTCAAGAGTTTTTGTAACTTTACATTTCCACTTACCACATTTCCAGTCGTATCCCAGGGTACAACGTTACAGGAACTCAAACTCGCCTAATCTTGGATCTTGCAAATCTGTCAATATGTATTTTTTGCAGGTTCCCTCATTTTGGTGCCTAAGAAATAGCTCCTATTTTATTTAATATAACACATGTTTTTTCACCATGCACCATTTCTTATGCTTTATACAGTATTTTCTGACACATTTCACATAACACAATAAGAATGTAATTTTAAAGGTTTTATGGGACACTTATCTTTGAAGAGCAGGACAGAACAGTGATGTCAAGGTGAAGTGACTAATTATTGTAAACTTTGGCTGTGGTAGAAGCTTTATTTTTTAATTAGCTATTTGTTTTAATGCGTTATCTGTTTGCATGTTCTCCTTGTGTCCATATAGGTTTTTTCCGGGTGCTCTGGTTTCCTTCCACAGTCCAAAGATATGCTGGTAGTTTAGTTGTCTTTTATAAAACTGGCTGTGGTGTGAGTGTGTGTTTCTGTGTGTGCCCCGCGATGGACTGGCATACTGTCTTGGGTATATACTGCTTTATGCCCAGTGTTTCCAAGGATAGACTTTAGACCACCGTAACCCTGAATTGGATAAGCCATTATTGAAAGTGATGTGATGATGATTATAGTCCATTCTCCTTTGACAGGAATGATTTCCAGCACTCATTTATCACTTCTCATACATTTCACTGAGAATGAGAGTTGCTGCATTTGTTGCATCTTACTTCAGAGGATTGTTGTTGATCTTAAAAAAAAATACAAAGCACAGCTCATTTTCACAACAATATAGCTTGGCTTAAAGTGTCAGGACATAATGTAACCCAATGCTATAGCTTCTCCTTTCTCTTCAGCTTTTGCCTTTTCCACAACCACTGGGAAATAGAAAAGTCAAAATATTTTCTTCACTTTTGTGATCACCCTGGAAGGATGCCGCACAACACTTTGAGGTGTTTCCTATTTGTTAAAGGTAGATGGGAGTCTGAACCTGCTAGATGAGATCCTCAGATCTATTTGCAACTATCCAAGAGGATAGAGGTTCCAGTCTGCCTCTATGCGTAACCTTGCTTATGTTCTTTACAAGTTCATCCAGACTCCTGTTATCTGTTATATAGGGATATGCTGCATTATTTTAACAACACTAGTCACATTTTAATAATGAATTGGCGTGTTAGTCTTTTGTACATTAAAGTTTCCATCTGCTTACCTTTGGATATCTTCACAGGAAGATAAGGATGTTTTTTACTGCTTGTGTGCGCTTAGATGTTTTTACATTAGACTTATTAATAAGGATGTAGTTGGTATCTGCAGATTAATTGCAATACAAAAACTTTAAGATCATAGTGTTTTCAGCATGCAACAGTATTGTCTTTGGTCTTTTCATTTGTAATTTAATATATTATTAGTTTAATTTTATTGATAATTTCATAAATATTCGAAGATCTATGGCAATAATACTCTGCTCGGTAGTTTGGCTAAAGTCTAATTTATAATTTATAACGGAGGTGTTATTTGAATTGGGTTGCTTTATCGGCTAAGAGAATAAAGCTCTCAGATCCCCTACCCCTCCACCCTTTGCAATCCATGAACCATGGATCTGCCACGAGGGTGAAGATGGAGTGGAGAGAGGGATATGAACAGCAAGAAGAGCCGTGACATTTATACATAGTTGGGTGGATGGGTGCCAAAGTATTGTTTGGCCTTCATAACTTTAATGCAAAACTCCACTGGTAGACAGGCCTTGGAATCAAGCCTGTGGCTTCTCCTTAAAATTTGAGCTCTCACTACTTTTCATATGAGGTGTTGATATATTCACAAATTATTCACAAATTAGTGAGTTACAGAGAAAAAAAAAAGTAATAGTTTTATTCCATGCTGAAAAGAGATGGAATTTCAGCATGGAATAAACCTATTAGTGGTTCCTTTGTAGCCTGCGCATGCTGACGCAGCTACCCACCTAAGAAAAAATAGTCAACCGGTTTTTGTCCATGCACTCTTAAAAGTACTGAAATTACTGTCTGTCCTCCAGATCGGTTCTATTGACCGAAACCACTGCATTGCACTTTGATTTGACCACTACCTTGATTACTATATTCATCCTCCTTGTTATTAATTCAGTATTCGAGGAACTGGTTACAGCAAAACTTTGGAATGGAATAGATTGTAATGGCTGGAAATTGAATAGCCTTGTTCTAGATTATGTAACCTAAATGTTGCAGAATAGCATTAGAACTGAATTGTCTGGGTCAGGCTGAATCGTACATAAAGCTAAGAGAGGTTTGTGATCTTGAATTAGTTCTGTATTAGTAAGAATGTGGAGGTATTTGAGAATTTCTTTAAGCTTTTTAAAAAACTATTTAAATAGCTGATGTTTTAATTCGTTTGTTTATTGTGATGCTGAGGTCTCACTGTAATCTAATCAGTGCAGAACTGCGTGAGTCTCTGATAGCTACAATGCTACTTAACAAATCTAGCAAACATTTATTTGTACAATTCCTTCCGTAATCTTTTAGATGTTTGACTGCTTTAAAAAGAAGAAATGGTTCAGCCAATATTATGGGAAAAATAGTAATTTATTTTGGCTTTGTGTCACATAAAGTAAAACTAAGCATTTCTTGTGAGGTCTGCTTTACAGTTTCCAGATTGTATTTTGCTGAGTAGATCTTTGAGTCAAATCCAGGACTTTGTGAGCCCACTCTGCTAAATTGTGTTCCACCCGAGTTCTTAATTTAAATCCAAGATTTAACTAATGTTTTACTAATTAGACATTTTGTAATTGTTTTCAGCTCTAACTCTGTAAGCATTTATGTTTACCAGTAGGTGCGATTATTTCACCTGAAAGTGTCAACTTTTAGGGTTAAAAAACAAAAAAAGGTATAGGCAGCCACCTTGTTACTTGAGTTAAGCACACAAGGATGCTGTAAAATAGGGCAAGGAAAACGAATAGATATAAAGCTGTATTTGTAAGGTTTAAGCATTTCTACTTTAGCATTTTCTGTCAGCACTTTACCATTTAAAGCTGACATTGAATAACATTAAGATAATCTGATTGTATGCTACGTATATTATACATTATAAATATTATTTATATTCCAGTTTTTCATTAAGGTGTATTAAATAAATGTATACCTGAGATTTGTACGTCATGGTTAGGCTGCTACCTTTTATGATGGTGTCTGTGTGTTTCATATAAACCTAAACAAAACCTGGTTTAAACAATATTGCAAATGTGACAAGCGCAGCTCACCCTACCACTGTTGGGTTTTCGATCCTGGTCGTTTTGCGACAGCCAGCAGAGAATTCTACTATCCCACAAGGCCGTATTCTTTGCTGCTGCAGAGATTTACACCATTTTAAGTATCTCGGGGGGGAGAGTGACATCAGTTCTCTCTCTGACTCAATGCATGAGCCCAGTGACACTCTCTCCATCTCGATACCTCCTTTTTTCTCCACTGCTAGACATCAGAGTGGGTTTCCCTGCTCTTGCTCGTGGGTGCTGAGTGTGCATCAGTGCCTCTCTGTAGACAGCGGATAAGTCCGCCAAGCTCAAAGAGCAGTAAGATTCTACACAACACCAGTGAATCGTCCAGCTCTACACTTACCCTGCCAGGTTTCCATCATGGTTGCTAGAGGGCCCAGAGCCACACAGCGCCACTCTAAACCCAGAGGAGAATTCTGCTGAGAGGTGTTGTAACTTGTTACTGGCATAGTGCATGGGCTCTGTTGCAGT